ATTTTTAGGTACTTTTTTTAAATTTCTTAAATCTGAGGCGACGACCCAATATTTTTAACGAATTATTTTGAAATTTAGATACATTCTTAGAAAATCTTTGAAGAAACACTTGATTATTTATCAAATTTTTGACGTCACGTGAGAAATTGATAAAGGATTAAAGTCATTTTTACACGACACTGTGGTTTTTTTTCATCTATTATGTAGACAAACAATAGCATTTCGACGTTACTCGTTCTGTTCTTTATTTTCATTTTTTTAAATATAATTTGATAATTAAGTTATTAGCATGTCTGTTGTCCTATTGGTAGCCACCGTCAAATTTCTTTCTCGCAGCCAGTCAAAATACGTGGAATCCATTGCTTTAAAAAGCCTAATGTGCATGCTCATATATGTTATTATCAACATAAAATGGAAAAATAAAATAAGGGCAAGTTTAAATATCACATTTTTGGATTATTTCTAAAACCGTAATTATAATGTTTCTTTCTGATAAAACCATACTTAGGTCAAGTCTTTTTCAATCCTTTATATTTTTTATACGTAGTTATTTACAAATCTGTTCCAATACAGTAATATCACGGATTTATATTACAATAAATATGTAATATAAATCCGTGGTAATATGAATTATATTTTTGTTGTTGTTGTTGTTGTTGTTGTTGTTATTGTCGTCGGCGGCGGCGGCGGCGGCGACATCATCATTTATGCTTTTTTTTTTTTTTTTTTCATTATCACGTTTGTATAAATAAATACATTGCATGCATAACACATTTTACAAATTGTTTTAATTGCAAGAATAAACAATGGTTACATCAAAAAAAACTTTTATAGAGAACAAATGATTTAAACTTATTTAACATCATGCTTATAAAGATTGTTAAAATGAAAAGGTAATCTAGAGCATGATATATATATTTGATCTTTTTAGATATGTTTTCATTTATCGAGCAAGCAAAAACTCTCAAAATACGCCCGTCATAACGGCCTTTGACAGAGATGTAAGAATTATGGATATTCATATAGGAAAACGGGCAATATGCGGACACTATCTGGATATTTTATCATCTCTAGTGACCTTGACCTTGCAAATATTAACCTCATTTACATAAATCTGGAAAGAAATTGATCCTTCGGAAGCATTAATCACAACGAAATTACATAAGAAGTGCAGACTCGGTTTGATTGAGTCTGTACATAATGGATAATGAATATGTGCAACATCCCTCACGCCCCCTATCACCGTTTGAGCGGTACTCAATTATCAACACTTAATAGTGCTGGCATCAATGATCCCGAAGGACCAGAAAAATATAACAACACTGAAGTGAAGTACGGGGCAATTTTTTACAGCTGCCACACAGCACTTGACACCTGCTGTTGTGAAGTATAAAAATCTGGAAAGAAAGTGATCCCTCGGAAGCATTAATCGCAACAAAATTACATACAAATTGCAGACTCGGTTTGATTGAGTTTAAGTCACACTTGTATTCATGATAGTTATCATTTGTGTTACAATCCGTGAATAATTGATGACTAAATGGTCCGAATACACATTATAATATTTTTATCTGAGCTTTGACCCTATGTGTGACCTTGACCACAGGCACTTGAATTTTGCACGCCACACTCAATGCACGCATAGCAATGGTGAACATTTGTGACAATTTATATTGAAATCCCACTATGCATGTAGAGATAATGCTCCGAACAAGCGTCTTTCAATGCGTTCTAAGTGTGACTGTGACCTTTGAACTAGAAGTTGGCGTTTCTATGAAGTTTCTACATGTGTGCAGGAGATATGCTCCGAACGAAATTGGACGCCGCCCGCTAGACCGCCCGCCTGCATTTAAATATAAGTTATTATTATTATTTAATAATAATAATTTATAATTTCATTATAAATCAAAATCTCAATGTAATTATTCTGAGTCAAATGACAAACATTATTCTCAAACAAAAGTCCTTGAAAAATTTTAAAAAAAGACATTTGTAGAGTTTATTTTAATTTTTTTAATGATGCCCAATCAAAACTACTGGTTTCAGTTCCAACGTGCATTCTTATAAATTCTGATGGAAAAACGACACATTCTTTCGGTTACGAAGCTGAGGACAGATATGCTGAAATATGTGAGAAGAAGGAACAACACCAATGGTTCTTCTTCAAACGGTTTAAAATGATGCTTTTTAAAGAAAAGGTATACTATTCTTTAAACATGAATGCCACATTTAAACTTCAAACGTACATATGTACGCGAGCACGCATCTGTTCATCCATCTGCATAGACTGAGACAAAACGAAACACTTTCTCAAACTTATAAAGGATATTTGAACATATTCGATTGCTATTTAATAACTTTCGCAAACGAGTGAAAAGTTTTACTGCATGCTTGTTACATAATTACATAGTTACATACTTTTTACATAATTAGGAATCATTGATATCGAAATCATATACGAATCGTGAATATGAATTTATAAGTGAATGTTTATAAATTTCATATGATATGTGTATTTTCCCGTGAAATGCAGGGCTAACCCACATTGTTTTTCTTTTTTGAAAATCGTTGAATGCGATTGAGGGAAACAGTTCAGACGAAAAAGACAAATACTGTTTTTATTTCTTTTAATCTTTTCTTTTATAGTAAAGATAATAAAGACCATAAAGACCATAGAGCTTTTAGTTGCCAAAATTATGACAGAAATTGTGTGTAAAGCTTTTTTTTGACATATAAAATGTCATTTTTTGGAACGGAGTCCGTCTGACTTCCTATAAAACATACACAGAAAAACCGAATATAGATAGCATGTCCTTTGGTCCTTTTAAAACCACGGACTCAAATCAGGGATTCTCATCGGCCATTCTATAATTAGTAAAATAATCTTAAGAATCTCTCTGCAACGCATTTCTTTTTAATCTACATGAGGTTCGGAAACAAAGTTTCTTGTCAAATTTCTCGGACCTGTGACCGTGCTTCCCCAATAAACATTAAACATTACACAGCAGTTAGCACGGCTTTCAAATTTCATAAAATAAAATGCTCTAGAGCTAAGCATAATAAACGTAAGAAATAACTGTAATTTAAATTACATTTTTTGTCCATGATATCGAAATTACCGAATTATATCACGATCAATTATACTAATGTGTATGAAAATACCACTGAACTTTTCTAGTCTCTCAGAATATTATGTTAATGTTCGTGATATTATACATGTTTGGTTATTTATGTGTTCAATTGGTTTGAATTTCATGATGCCCATACATATATCCTTGCATATTAATGAAGCACATATTAATGTGTACATGGATATGTTAATATAATAATGAGGTGAAAATACCGATACAAGACAGTTTAACATTTGTCTTAGAAACATTTGGACACGTACTGTACTTTATGTCATTATTATACAACTGCTGAGCCAACATATATCTATGTATTCAAAAAAAAAACAACGAAATAATCTATGCAAATAAAAGCAGGTTTACTCTGGCCAAGTATCTTTTCAAAAATACCCAATAATGAATAATTGTGATATTTTTTGCATTTTAAACTTAACATTTATAAAAGTGGCCAAAACTCATTTACTGTGCGGTAAAGTTTGTTTAATTTTCGCAAGCAGGTGTCCTTTACGACATATATCTGACTTATATTGTCGATTTTGTAGTTCCTTATAGTGCCCGTTATGGTGGCCATGACTTAATTATAATAGAAATAGAATAACATTAACTTTTAGTTTTGAGAGTTTTTCTTTTTTTAGTTATTTTTTTATTTTGACCAACGCCATTTTTCAAATTTCCCCTCACCAAGGACAAAGTTAATCATTTGATCCCGTATTTTCTAGACTTTACTCTCAATAAGTTTTTCAGTAATTCATATAGTAATTAATACAATAGAAACACCCTCGGATATTATTTATAATAACCTCAGTAACAATACGGTGCGAAAGTAGTTTTACCACGTCGTTTCAGATGTAACAGAAACAGAGAGTGGTAAAATTAACTTATGTATATATTTGTCATCCAAATGAAAATATAGTCGATTTCGGTACAATTTTGATTGAAAATATGTCTGGCAACCATTTTGAATTTAAATATGCCCAGTGATGTACAACTAATTATAAACATATCCGATTAAATGTCAATAGGTTGGCATTTTGTACTTTCGGTTTCTCAAACCATAATTATCATTAAAGAAATAATGTAATTGTTTTAGGTGGGATTTTACTTGAGATATTGGGAAAATAACTTGTCAACAACTCCCAGCGTTGAATTTTCATTGTTAACATGATAAGTTTCTTAGCGTAAGTTAAGATGATGGGTGTATAAAAATTAATTATCGAAAAAGGGTTTCGTTTTACAAAAAAGCAGAACTATATTTCAAATTTTTAGAAAATAATTGTCTTATTCTCTCTCATATAAGGGGATGACAAGACGATACCAAAAACGGTATCCGTTCTGTGTCGTACAATTTTGTCGGAAGACTGACGAAAGGGCTGAAAATTGCAATTTGTGATTTATATTGAGTGGAATCAAAGCAAAGACATCAAATCATGTGAAAGAAAAATATATCCAGCTGGTTATGTTGAAAATACACTCATTTACAGTCTCATTATGAACTACGTAAAAAGACGAGGAATATCGAGTGAAAAATGCGAGTTGTTTTTCTTGAAAATCTCTACTGCTAAAACAAAACAAATTTACCCGTTTTTAAACCGCTAGTGTGTTGCGATTTAATGTCCGATTATATATTTTTACACCAATGAAAAGTTTGTAATCTTATCTTTGTCCCAGTATATATTTCAACACATCGTTTGCCATTTCACATACGTATGTGAGATATGTAGGCGGTTATCATAGTCCCCCGTCTACTAGTTCGGAAACTGAAAATGGATGTTTAAAAATCAATTATCGAAAAAGGGTTTCGTTTTACAAAACAGCAGAGCTATGTTTCAATTTTTTAGAAAATAATTGTCTTTTTCTCTCTCATATAAGGGGATGACAAGACGTGATACACTAGAAGATGAGACTGGTAAAAAACTTCCGGCAATGACAGTTTTCTCGCTATCTATTGAGTACTTAAGAAAGGAAATTGTTGATACTCTAAGCAATCAGATTGTTGACATATTTAATGTGTCTGAAATTGGCTGGGTTCTGACTGTTCCAGCAATATGGAACGATGCAGCTAAACAGTTTATGAGGGAGGCAGCACAACAGGTATGGAGTTGGCCCAATGGTTTTTCGCCCTATTTGTCCTATAGTAAATCCATCACATTTAAGGCTAAATTACCCAACATATCCGGTACAGGAAACTGATGGCTATAACTTTTAACAACAATACTATCAAATTTAATTTAGCACAACAAAATAGTACATTGGTCCCTGGAATTTTTCGGCAGATTTCAATTGAAGGGGTCAGTGCAACAAGGTACCTAACTACAATTTTGGATGAAATTGAGTTGGGACCTTTGTGATTTAAGGAACGTTATTTGGAATTAGAATGACCTCCCTTTGTTACTCATTTCTTTGTTTTTAAGGTAAAAATGGTTCTTGGAGGAACTTTACAAAGGTCCTAACTCCAGAGGTGGAGTTGAGACCTTTGTTACATTAAATCTATCCACTTTTTCTTGTTTTGAGGCAAAAAAAAATATATGAAAATGTGATTATATTTTGATTTTATGTCAAAATGTGCATGGAAATTTACAACAACAATGTTTTCTTCTATGTTTTGTCAAATTAATTTGCAGAAATGTTCATTTGTATAAAAATTATTACAAATATTATTATGTGAATTTTGTGTTCATGGAGATAGAACCTTTGTTGCACATATACCATATCATCCCTTTTTAAAATTTTGCATGAAGACATTTAAGTCTTAAAAATATTGTTTAGAGTTTTTCTATACATGTATATCACCAAAATATTTATTGTTTAAGAGGAAATGTTTAAATTTGAGCATTTAGGCTGCTTTAGGTAGTTAATGTTAATTGTATTAAATATTGTACATTTTAGCGACAAAGGCATGTTCTGGTAGCTTTTGTTTGATTTTTCGAGACCATATTCTGAGATATTGAAACTATACAGCTAAAGCTGATGTATTTTATAATATTTGTAACTTAGGTTATTTAAATGTAGTGGTCTAGTGAAAATACGTTTGTAACAGTTCCTGCACACGATATTTTTGAAATACATGCAATTATATTCTGAATTATTAAAAACAAAACTTTTATTCGTAAGATAGGTTCTTTTATATTTGAACTGGCATGAATGTTAAAGTTTTGTTTCTTTCTATGAAGAATATATGTTTAAAACTCATTTGTTTTTGTTTCCTGTAGCCAGTCAATTAATCAATTAGTTAATCAATCAATCAAATATTCATCAATTTATCAACTAATGGATGTGTAACAAATACAATTTATACAATTGATGAATTGTTTGATACGCCTTAAGTTTTTTTAAGCTTAATATTAATGTGCAAATACATAAGGGGTTATATGATAACCTTTTAGTTGATTGAAAAGTTGAAAGATATGTAAATTTTAAGCTCAAATACTTTATGCAATTGTTTTAAAAGTTACAAAGGTCCTAACTCCATAGGATTTAGAACCGTTTTTGCATAAGCACATTTGATAAAAATAACTTTTCTTTCAATAAAATGGTTAAAAATGGTGTAAAACATACAACTTTGGTTTCAAATGTTCTTTTTATTAATAACATTACTTATTAGTGAATTAATTTTAAAATATTTCAATTAAAACTAAAATTTCATAAAATGACCTTTTTCTCAAAATAATGTTAAATAACGTTAGGTACCATCTTGCACTGACCCCTTCAATTGTGTTACCACTATAAAATCATCCAAATAGCAATTTCGGTAAATTCTGGTGCATAGCACTGAAAACTTTCACCCAGAAATGAGGTCCTGCAAGATACACAAAAACAATTTTTAAAGTACTAAGAAATTACATTTTATTTACACAATTTTAGAAATTATACTTAAAATATTTACAGTCACACAAGAGATTACTTGAAATGGTTAACTTTAAATTTACTCAAACTCAAAATTTTAAAGAACTTCTTAAGACTACAACGGACTGAGTCTTAACCCGTACTGGAGTGACCGTATATGAAAGTGAAAGGATATTACACATCAACGTTCATTGTTTTTATAACCAAAGCGATTGAACTACACTACACTACACAGACAGACTTTGAAAACGCATCAGTTGGGCTTTTTCTATTTATAGGAATAGCATATTCGATTTTTATAATATTTTGCATACTTGAGGACACATGTTTATAAAATTTTCAGTTAAAAGTTTGTTACTGTCATTCCCTCTATTGTTGACTTTTTAGTCGAAAACGCATGGTAAATCACAACCGACCTGTTGTATTTACTAGATAACATTTCAGAAATTGTCAGTATGAATTTCAACAGGACAATGCTCCCGCTCATATAGCTGTCTTTCTTCAGAAAACTCAAATTAATGTGCTAGACTGGCCAGCGATGCCATCCGACATGTCACCGATAGAGCATGTATAGGACGATTATAGGCACAGAGTCTATGCACGTGTACCACCTTCACAAAATTAAGCATTACTCCAACAAGCCTTAGTGCAAGAATGGAATATTACTCCACAACAGTCAATTGCTGCAAACTTTATGTCAATGAGTCAAAGTTGTCTTGCATGCATTCGGGTTAATGGGTCATACACGAGATACTGAATACCTTATTGAATAACAAAATACAGTATCAAAAATATTAAAAAAGAAAATTTAAAAAAGCAAAAGAAAAAACCTCCTCCGACGTCCCGACATGTCCTCGTCGTGGAGGAGGGACATGATCTTTAACTATCCTAGTGAGATCATGACTACTGTAATATGGACTATGCTCATAAAAAAGGTTGGGTTTTTTTTTGAACGCGGGTTATCATGCGTTTACGACTATCACTCAATAATAGAGGCAGTGACAGTAACAATTTTAACTGAGAATTATAGATTCAAGAGTATTTCAGTACTTATACTTTGAATCCGTTCATTGAATTCGAACCTCTACTACAAAAGGGAACTTTTCATATTCTCTATGCAATCACTGTCCTTATAGAGTCGCAAACTGTTACAGCCTAATCTTAATTGAAATATATTTATATACATGTAGTTGTTACCATTTTGCAAATTTTCTTTTTATGCTATAATTATGTAACGAATCTAAGCTGATTGAATATTCATCCAGTCTAATTAAACTTTGCTTTTATAGGCTGGGATTCCAGGAAAGAACCTTAGGTTATGTCTTGAACCAGAAGCCGCATCTATTTTTTGTCGTCATCTTCCGGTCTCAAAGAATACCAAGCAAGAAGTTGAATCCATTTCCCAGTTTTCATCAGGAACAAAGTATCTTGTCCTTGACGCAGGAGGTATTCTTCTTAAATGTATTTCTAACAAAGAAAACGCTTAAACCAACAGTTTTCTAGTTTTATAAACATTTGCATACATGTATTACCTTCTCTAGACCTGTAAGAAAAATCATTTATATTTTCTTAGAATGATAGTAATATGCCTGTTAATTTTCTTTTTTAAGAGTAAAGGATTTTTTTGGTTATTTAAACAGGAGGAACAGTTGACATGACTGTACATGAAGTAACTGACAATGGAAATTTGAAAGAACTCTATAAAGCAAGCGGTGGTGCATTGGGAGGAACCAAAGTAGATGAAGCATTTGAAGCGTTTCTATCAAGTATTGTGGGTAGGTAGCTATTTTCTAAATTATAACGTCCACATAAGAAGTGAATATGTAACAGTAACTGTACATTCTAGTGAGACAGTTTTCACAAAAGCTTTTTAAGCTTCCTACACTATCCGTAAAATTTGTTTTATGCCTTTATCGTGCAAATGAAAATAAAATAAATAATTTTTTAAACTAACTTTAAATTTGGAAAAAGTTTTGATGGTGTAAACTCAGACTTCTTTTAATTAAGACTTCATCGTTGTATGAACTTAGATATGTTTTAGTTTGTACTGTACCATTTCAATATAATAGCAATGAAATGTCAAATGTCAGGTTTTCAAATATCAATCGTATTACAGGACCGGTTGTCATCTCAGAATTCAAAAGTCAACATTTAGAGGACTACATTTTCATTTTTCGTGAATTTGAAAGCAAAAAACGCAAACCTGTTCCTCCTACAGGATTCGTGACTATCCGTTTGTCTACTTACCTTTTTAAGTTATGTAAAAAATTCAGAAAAAACGATTTAAAGGACTTATTACCACAGTCCGGATATGAAAGCAAAGTCAAGGTTTTACCAGATAAGTTGAGACTCGATAGTGACATTTTCAATGAGTTTTTTGAACCAACCGTTCGCGAAATAAACAGTTATGTTGACAATCTGTTGACGGAATCTTCAGTTGATGGTTGTGCTGCCATTCTTATGGTTGGTGGATTTTCTGAATCATCGGTGTTGCAAAAGTATGTAAAGTCCACATTCAAACATCTACAAGTAATCGTTCCAAACGAAGCAGACTTAGCAGTCTTAAAAGGAGCTGTCATATTTGGTCACAAACCTACAACAATAACTGAGAGGATATGCAAGTATACATATGGGTATGAAACAACTCATACGTACAGTGATAGTTGCAATCATCCTAAAGGAAGAGTTGAAAAGGATGAAAATGGTGACTTAAGATGTTATGATATCTTTATAACTCTTGTTAAAGCAGGACAGTCTGTCAAGGTAGATGAAGAACAACCAAAAAAAATATGCACACCTATTACCGATGATCAGACTGCTATTGGCTTCAATGTGTATGCATCCACTTCAACTAATCCACAGTTTACAACCGAAGACGGATGCAGTCTTATTGGGCAATTAAGGGTGCCTATTTCTGACACAAGCTCTGGAAGAAACCATGAATTTGGAATAAGTTTTATTTGTGGAGGAACCGAGATTGTTGTAAAAGTCGTTGACAAGGAGTCCGGTGAAATGATGCTAAAATCTGTCGATTTCCTGGGATAGAATATAACCAAACTAAATCAGAACACTAAAACAGACATATATACTTTTTATAGTTTAATTTGTTTGGGAGTAAGAGTAATCATATATAATGGATACATGTAGCATTATATTTGTTTTGTTTTATTGCTTGAAGCACATTGCGTTACTATCACAATCCTTTCATTATATATCTAAAGATTGCTTTTTGTATATTATATATATATCTTAATTTTGTAAAACATTGCGTTCATTTTCTGTCGTGGACGATAGTGTTTTGATGGTATTTGTATTCACTTGATATAGTAAGATCTATTAGTCTTACTATCTATTATATAATAACTCTTATTATCATACTTGTAAGTTAGAAAGTGCACTGAATGGTTAAAAAACATGTATGTTCTACATGATTATACAAACTTCTATGATCATTTTAACTCTTAAATTGCTAGTCTTTTAGGAATTTGTGTCTGAATGATTTTTTTCCATTAGTATGATTGAATTGTATTCAACATTTTCATATGTGATAGTGTGTATGCTTACATTTTAAGTCAACATTTCCATTTTGGTAACAGCATTTGCTTTCTTTAAAAGACTTATATTATGTATGTATTAACCAGGAGAGTACACTTACACAAAATATCTACTCATTTATTTAATCAAGTATTAAGTATTGTTGTGAATAAAAGCAAAATAACACAAAAACCATAGTTTCTGTTGTAATAGCTTTAGAACGATTTTTACTTAAATGTAACCACTTGAATTTGTGTAAAGGATCTGTACTGCTTTGAAGAAAGAACAGTCCAATGGAGTGTAATTATCAAAATACAAAAATGAGCTACCAACAGTATAGAATCTGTTCAAACTGCACGAGTTCATTTTCATTTGGTTAAAATTATGACCTTGAAAAAGTAATATTATATTTCGACATTAGTCTTGGGAACTCCGATCGCTACCCGTACATTTATATAATTGTATTGTACTCGTTCGAGTATCTAGTGATATAAAAATTGGAACGATTCTGTAATTTGAGAGATTAACAATACAATTAGTATCAGCAGTGTTTATTTCTCTTAAGACATAAAGTCGAAGCTAAATAATCAACATACACACGGGATATTATCGAATTATTAAATGATCGTTGGCGGAGAAATTTGTAAATACTGGTTCATTATTAAGCTATTTAGGCGGATCTACTGCCCAGATACGGCCAAAATATTTGGTACAATCGGCGTTAAATCAACTGACAAAAATCCAAATGGGACCTTCTTATCGACGGTTTTATACTGTTTGAAGATCTTTTTTTATTTAGATATTAAGATCCTATAACTTTTTATTTGATTTCAATTTAATTCCAAACACAACTAAACTGTATCTAACGCTTAGGCCCAAAAATTGTTTAACAGTGCTCTTTACTACTTAATCTCTGCGCACTTTGAAATTTGTAGCTTCCTTTTGTAAAGGACACGGGGATAATCATCCAAAGTGTACTTATATGCGCTAAAGTTTGTTTCAGTGAAGGTAGACTGAATAACGAACACAATATCACCTTTAATTGTTTAATGGTCCTTCTTTAATGGAATACCACAACTAATATATAACATATTGCATGTTATCATGACGTTAACAAATGGATATTATAAACAGTAACATATATTGTTCGTGGAAAGCCACAAAGTTATCTCTTGAAATTCCAAATTGTAACCGTCCAAATTTTCTATCATTACAAAATTTCTAAAAATGGTTTCGTTTTACACTGACCACTAGAATGTACATAGTACAATTGGTAGTAGTAGATATTGACATAATTATGTGATATAAACTACAACTCCCCTAAACGCTCTCCATGCGAAGCATATATTTTAAAGACCCCTGAAATGGACATTTGATCAAGCCAGGTGAAATTTCATTTCAAAGTTTGCAAATGCTGCATATATTTGATGTCCGATAGCTCACACCGATGACAGCACATTTAGAAAAATGACAGGCAGAAGCTCGGGGTTTTTGCAGGTATTATGGAAAAAAGGCCCCTGAAAATATTTGGCATTTTGGGAAAAAACCTTGTACATATACATTTTTAGATTTAACTTGTGTATGATCCTCTTTCTGAAAATTGGGAACAAAAGAATATTTGGATTTGGAATAGGGCCTTATATCGGCTCTTGGTGCCCAGATTTTATCAAAATCGTGATACTTGAACAGTCACTTAAGGCGCTTAAAATCCATGAGGAGCGTACTGTACTTTACAAATATGTTTGTAGTTTTCAATGGGCTGTTTCCGAGTTTTCACAAAATCAAATTTTCACATTATACAAAGGGAAGTAATTACAGTCAGTTAAAGTTACTGGATCCAGTACTTTTTTCTTGCATTGTAGCTGTCGTTTTCCATAACTTAAAATTATTCTAGTTCATCATCTACACAATAAGAACACATCATTCTTAAATGCATTACAAGTGGGCTCTTGATCGCTCACCTGAAGGTTTGCATGTTTGGGCAAGATTTCATTATTTGTCCATTTATCAAATTGCATGGAAATCAATCATTTAATTCTTATTTGGCTGCTAAGCAGCCAGGTCTTATATGATTTTGAATAAAAGGCATGAAACAAAGGAAATTAAAACATTAACATACTCGAACATCACCTTTACACTTCAGGACCAATTTTAAATTTCTTTGTTGCAAAACAATTTTATTTACATTTTGTTCAAATGGAAAAACAATGTTTTCTTTTCTCTGTATCTGTAAACAAGAGGGCCATGATTGTCCTGAAATCGCTCACCTGAATATAAAAACTCTCAATGTCAAGGAACAAGTAATAATGTAAACTATAAACAAAAGCAGATATAAGATCAAAATCTTCACTGATATCACAAAGTTCATATTTGTTTATGAAATAGTGCATACTAGGTAAAAACATTACTGGTTGCTATTGCTAAGGTAAAACAATATTGTAAATGATGTGTACATGTAAGGAAAATCAATGACCCCTTGGAGCAGGGCCAATTTTGACCCAAAGGCTTTTATTTGAACAAACTTGGTAGATACCTATTAGATGATATTCTAAGCTCTAGCTATTTGGGTTTTTTAAAAGAAAGTTTTTTTAATTTTTTACTACATTCATATAAGGAAAATCAATGACCCTCGGGCGGGGTTACTTTGACTCCCAGGTCTTTTATTTGAACAAACTTGGTAGATACCTATTAAAAGATGTGTCATGCTTCATATCTAAGCTCTAGCTATTTGGTTTTTTTAAAAGATGATTTTTTAAGTTTTTACTATATACATTGTTACATGTTTAAGGAAAAACAATGACCCCAAGGTCATGACCCAAAGTTTGACCGCAGGCTATATTTGAAAAACCTTGGTAGACACTTACTAGAAGATGTTACATGCCAAATATCTAAGCTCTAGCTTTTTGGGTTTTTTAAAAGAAAATTTTTTAAGTTTTTACTTCGGTTGCCATGGAGTCCTGCATGGACATAAATTCTTTGAACAAGTTTTATAAAGTTGACCATCAAGGGAACATTCTTGTGAAGTTTGGAGATGACATTAGCTTAGCGGTTTATGAGGAGATGTTGTTTAAAGTAAAAGTTTACAGACAGACGGACGCAGGATGAAAAGCGATCACAAAAGCTCACCATGTCACTTTGTGTCAGGTAAACTAACAAGAGGGCCATGATGGCCCTGAGGTCGCTCACCTGTATATAGGCCCCCGGAGCAGGACCAGTTTAAACCCCAGGGCTTTAATTAGAAAAAACTTGGAAGACACTCATTAGAAGATGTTTCATGATGTTAACTTTTTACTACACACATGTAATAAAAACAATGATTTCTCCCCATACCACCGCAGTCCCCCCCCCCCCCCCCCCCCCCCCGCAGGGCCAATTGTCACCCAAGTATTTTTATTTGAACAAACTTGGTAAACACCCATAAGAAGATATTTCATGCTAAACATCTAAGCTTTAGCTCATTGGGTTTTTTTAAAAGAAGATTTTTCAAGATTTTACTATACACATACAGTTTGACCCCAGGGCTTTTATTTGAACAAACTTTGTCCACACTTACTAGAAGATGTTCCATGCTTAATATCTAAACTCTAGCTATTTGGGTTTTTTCAAGGAAGATTTGTAAGTTTTTGCTATACACATATCAGGAAAATCAATGACCCCCGGGGTGGGGCCAATTTTAACCCCTGGGCTTTTATTTGAACAAACTTTGTAGACACTCACTAGAACATGTTTCAAGCTTAATATCTAAACTCTAGCTATTTGGGTTTTTTCAAAGAAGATTTTTTAAATTTTTGCTAAACACATATCAGGAAAATCAATGACCCCCTGGGGCGGGGCCAATTTTGACCCCAAGGCTTTTATTTGAACAAACTTGGTAGACACCCATTAGAACATGTTTCATGCTAAATAACTTGGCTCTAGCTCTTGGGGTTCTTTAAAAGAAGATTTTTTAAAGTTTTTACTATATGCATATAGGGAAAATCAATGACCCCCTGGGGCTGGGCCAATTTTGACCCCTGGGATTTTATTTGAACAAACTTAGTAGACACTCACTAGAAGATGTTTCATGCCAAATATCTCAGCTCTAGCTCTAAGGGTTTTTTAAAAGAAGATATTTAAAGTTTTTTCTTTCGGTTGCCATGGCAACCAGAGTTCTGCATGGAATTAAATTCTTTGAACAATTTTTAAAGGTGACCACCAAAGGAACATTCCTGTGAAGTTTGGATGAAATTGGCTTATTGGTTTATGAGGAGATGTCATTTAAAGTAAAAGTTTACGGACGGACGGACGACAACGGACGGACAAAAAGCGACCACAAAAGCTCACATTGTCACTTTGAGACAGGTGAGCTAAAAACGGCAACCAGATTTCTGCATGGAATCAATTTTTTTTAACAACTTTGGAAGCCTTTCACCTAAGGAACAATCCTGGCAAGTTTGGTTGAAACTAGACCAGTGATTTTTTTAACAAGCTTTCTTAGGTTCACAATATTATCTATATAACAGACAAACACACAAACACACAGGTGAATCAATATATGCCACCACATCTTAGATGCTGCAGTGGCATGAAAATCACTGACAGCTGGTATTAAAATCAAACAATGAGAACATGTTTCAAATATCAAATTTTAATGATAAAACATTATAACATTTGCAGTTCAGTATTTAATCTGCAGTAAATGTGATGAAAGATAGAGGTGTAATCTACAGATCAAAGGTAATCCTCCGTGTCTAGCCTTGAGGTAGTCTCATGTTGACTAAACATTTCATTCAATTGACAACTGCAGACTATCCAAATATCTTTAAAACACATCCTGAAAAAAGTAAAGATAATTTTAACAGATTAAAGACAATTGTTTGTTTTGTTTTGTCTGGTTTTACAGTGAACCAACAGAACCTATGTCATACAGTGCCGAAACAGTAAATGATTACTCTGGCTAACCTCAGGTGTCACAAACTTTAAACAACACTAGGGTCAAAACCACATCACCTTCTGGAGACACTCTAGTAATCCCTTTAGTGTATCTTATGATCATGCAGGGATACACAAAGGGTGCAATTCTGATGCCTCAACCCTTAAAGGCAACCCCCTCATCCACAAGCGGGTCAATACAATTGAAATCAATTATTTTTAACAATTATAATCAATGTTTTCTCTGTTGTAAATATGCAACTTTTCTCGCATATATGGACAGTAATTTTACATAATTCATCTATGATGATCTTATGCTGATGAGATAAGAAATTTCAGTGAGAGATAAACCATATCACATTTGTCAAAAAAAACAGAGGTAAGTGAATAAGCATGGCTTCCATTCTATATATTTACAGGTTACAAAATGGATGAAGATTTTCATGTTGTCATGGACCATGTCAGTTATATAAGCACCTTTGGGTAATGTCTAACTAGATTTTATGATGAACATATACATGTAGAAAAAAAATTAAAAGTGATTTTTTTTGTATTTTCTTGCACTTTTTGAGCTCCTCTTGAATATTTTTAACAAATCTCACTTCAAAGTGAGATATATTCTATATTCACAACAAACAAACAAATATATAGCCATATGCATACATGTGCACTGCTACCCTGTAAAAATACCATTATCCCAACATATGCTACTTTTATCAATCACAGATATTATTTTTGATTACTGATCTAGCCTTTGATGAACACATGTACTTTTCAGTCTATACTAATAAAAAACATGTATTTCAGTGAAACAAAGATTTTTCCATTAGCACAAATTTACAGAAACATAAACTTTAACAAGAGCTGTTGGAAAGACAGTGTGCTTGACTACTCTCAGTGCTTGATAGTAAAAAAGAGCCTGGATAATGTAGAATTGTCTTCAAAAAGGTTCACAAAGGGCCATAATTCTGTAAATATCCATGTGAGCGTTATGGGCCTTAGACAGTAACCTTCTATTATGATCTCAAAAAAATGAGCTGCGCCATGACAAAACCAACATAATGGGTTTGCGACCAGCATGGATCCAGACCAGCCTGCGCATCTGCGCAGTCTGATCAGGATCCATGCTGTTTGCTATCAGTTTCTCTACTTGTTATAGGGTTTGTAAGCAAACAGCATTGATCCTGATCAGACTGCGTGGATGGGCAGGCTGGTCTGGATCTATGCTGGTTGCAAATCCATTATGTTGGTTTTGTCATGGCGCGGCTCAATGTGTAAAGTTTCAACCAATACGTTCATGTAGTTTTGCACTGTTTTGGAGATATCAACCTACACACAAAAACTTAACAAAAGTGTCACTTCTACTCCAAAGACTGGGTTAGTACAATTATAGCTCTCCATGTTTCTCGATAAGTCCAGCTAAAAACAAAGCTAATATACTGTTTAGGGCATTTACAAGCACACCGCATTGAAAAAGTCACTCGTACATTGACGTCAATTTGGCATAGGCATAAATAGCACTCTGAATTCACTCTTTATTTTGGCTTTTTATTATCTTTGAAAAATGAATTGTTGTTCAAGCTTTCTGCTGTAACTTGGATGCCAACTGTATAAAATCTAGTCAGACTGTATAGAAAACAATTAAGTGACTATGATTTATTTCAACTTGATGACAAAATCCCACATATTTATTTTAACCATTACCTTATATACAGACAAATACAACACTAGACAGTTAATACAATCTTCTCCATCTCTTCAATAATTGATTCAGCTTCTGGGAACTTGAGTTTCCTTGGTGGACCTTTCTTTAAACCAGTCCAAACTACAACATCTGAAACAATATAACCAATAGTCAAGATAAAATTTTATTCATCTACATGTACATAAATCTTTTTTTAGAATCAGTTAAATGATAATGAAACCACTAAAACTATATAATCTACAGTTAGGTTTCTTACTCTTATAATTTGCAAGCTTCTATGTTCTTAAAGTTTCATCTACTTCCCTGTCAATAAAGAAGGGCCAAAATGTTATTAATAATCTTTATGAACCAAACCTACATCTACAAATTCCAACTCTTGTAAATAATTAAACAGATTGAATCATTAAACCCACTTCTTTCATAAATTTGAAAGTTACATATTAAAGGCATTTATGCCTCTGTGACAAATAAACTTTTCCTCCTTTAGAAAGGGCAAACTTGAGTTTTATAACATTTAAAGAATAATTTTACAGCACTGTAAATGATCATTATCCAAGGAAAGTAGCCCTGAATGTGAAAATACTTTGCATAAAAGTAGCAAAATGTAAACAAAGTAGTATGTTGACTTTCATACAAAATACTAAATCACTATAACTGTTCTAATTGCCCAAATTGAACAGAAGCAAAAGATAAATATGGTAATTGGCCAATGAGTAACTTTTTAAAAACTATAACAATCATGACACTAGAAATAAGAAACATTTCAGAAATTAAAAGCATTTCTGAGGCACGATGGGCCTTTAAGATTACTGTTATTAAAAGCTTATGTTACTGTCTCAGATGTGAACAAGCCTGAGCTGTCACAGGCAGAAAGCACTCGTTAGACAACTTAATCTTGAACAGCTGACCAGTTCACAAAGGGGTTTAATTCAGTTAAAAAAATCATGAAAGAGTTATGGGTCATTGTCAGTGATCTAAAAACACTTAAACTAAACAATCAAGAATAATGATGGCGAAAAACTTGCAGTTAATTATAGCACTTTTCTAGATGCAATGACACACAGATTTTTAAAATTTGGAATATCAAATGTTACAAACAATAAACAGATTAGTATTGAAATTAGGGTTGCTATTCACATAAGAAAGAGAGTCATTATAATCAGACACAATAAAATTTAAGTAATATTTTTACAAGAACACAATGTTAATTAAGGGTTCATTAAAAACATAAAGTCACAAAGGGAGGTTAGACTGTACATATACATGTACATGTATAGTATATATAGCCGTTATAATCAGACACAATAAAATTGTAGTAATATTTTACTAGAACACAATGTAAATTAAGGGTTCATTAAAAACATAAAGTCACAAAGGGAGGTTAAACTGTACATATACATGTATTGTATATATAGAATTAACATACCATCCTTTCCATCCCTGGAAATAACAAGTTCAAAGCTGCCACGCCTGGGAGCTGAGGGATTAAGCTCAACCTCAAACTCCCCATACTTCTTGCGCAAGTCCTCAACCAGAGCTAAGGCCTTGCGCTTGAACACCTGTCAGGATTTGCTGCAAAATAAAAAAGGGCAATTTTCTTTCATTCTGTAAACTACTTCACTTGTATACTTAAGAATTTAAAAGGGCCGGCTCAGAAACTTGCAATATTTGCAATTTGATGTTGACCAATCAGTTTAATCAGCCTATGGCCCTCTAAATTACAAACTGGTGCATCAAGTTTAGAAAGCTTGTAAAAAAAAAAAAAAGAGCCGTCAGTAGGACAGCAATGCTCGACTATTTTTAGTGCTTGATAGTAAAAAAAGCCTTGATAATGTAAAATTTATTAAGTTAACAAAAGGGCAACATTTTTCTTTAAATCCATGTTACAGTTATAGGCCTTGAAGTCAGTCCTAATATGCTCTCAAAGAGTATAAAATTTCAACTTGTTTCAAAGCCAGATGTCAATAGAATATTAAAATATCTTAGGTGGTATGCAAACTTAAATGTAAATTCTAAGTTGAAAAAGGGGCATTAATTTATTCTGCCAAATGCTTGATACAGTTACCTCCTACTGTCTACAGGTTGGGGTCATGATGGTGAACAAGTGTGCTAAGTAACAAAGCCAGATGTCAATGGACTTTGAAATATTTGAGGTATTACAAAAACTTTAATTCTAAGTCGAAAAAGGGGCATAATTATGTCAAAATGCTTGATAGAGTTACCTCCTCCTGCCTACAGGTTGGGGTCATGATGTTGAACAACTGTGCAAAGTTTCAAAGCCATATGTCAATGGACTTTGAAAATATTTGATGTATTACAAAAACTTTAACGTAAATTCTAAGTCGAAAAAGGGGCATAATTCTGTCAAAATGCTTGATAGAGTTACCTCCTCCTGTCTACAGGTTAGCGTCATGATGTTGAACAACTGTGCAAAGTTTCAAAGCCATATGTCAATGGACTTTGAAAATATTTGATGTATTACAAAAACTTTAACGTAAATTCTAAGTCGAAAAAGGGGCATAATTCTGTCAAAATGCTTGATAGAGTTACCTCCTCCTGTCTACAGGTTAGCGTCATGATGGTGAACAAGTGTGCAAAGTTTCAAAGCCATATGTCACTGGACTTTGAAAATAGTTGAGGTATAACAAAAACTTAAACATAAGTGGTTACGCCAACGCTCAGGTGACTACAATAGCTCTACTTATTCATATTGAATAGTCGAGCTAAAAAAGGATCCTTTTTTGGTGATCTAATTTTTTAATTTCACTGTGAAACTTTCAAGACCAAGACAACAGGTCATATGTTTATAGTTCTGTAACCTTTGGATGAGTTGGGGTTACACAACCCTTGGCAAATGAAGTTAATCTTAAGTATTTCTATTTCTACATCATACTGCTTTAAAATCGTTTACGACCACTCTAAGCAGGTATACATTGTATACATTAAAGAGACAGTTATGAGATACAAAAATTAAGGGAATCCAGGAACCAGTCCCTAGCTTTTATTGAATAGACTCCTTGGTTTTTTTACATGCCCGGTGTATAGCACTGATACATGCAAGGATAACCTGGATTTCTAACCAGTTCAACCTCTACACATGTAGGTAGGTGGCAAACACTGAAAATGTCTCTGATAATACCTAATTATAATATTGTAAACCTGAAAAGTCCACAGGTGGTGACCAGGTTTTGAACTCCCGCCCTCTTGATTACACAGTGGACACTCAAACATGTTAAAGGGTTAACCCAACAGCAAGGCTGTTGGAAATGGCCTACACCCTGTAATCACTTCACTAATAAATGCATCAACATAGCAATTTTAAGACATCCCTGAGTAGGCCTGCTCAATCCACATTTGTAGTTTATAACGGTATAACATATACACATACTGACATAGACATATATTCTTAAGGAGACTGCAAAAAAGTTTTAAAATATATCCGCTGTACACCTGTGGATATACACCCAGTTAATTTATGTAACAAAACACAATCGCGAAATAATGTGACAATTCAACACAACATGTAAAATTATTACCAATGCTCGATTGTCATGCGAAAGTTGGCATTTGTTGACGTAGTTTTAGCCTTTTTAACAGGGGATGCCTCATCTTTCGTCAATTTTGATTCGGTTTTAGCCGAACTGGCTCTTTTCTTTCCAGTTTTTGTTGGCATTTTCAGCGTAATGGCGGGAAGCACATTAATTAGGGTCATGTACGGGGCCCTCATGTACGGTATCTTGAGTTATGTCCCTTTTATCTAAAAACGCCATTTGCAGAGATGTGTTTACTTTCCTTGACCCCGATGTCGTCCGTTATCATCTGATTCTACATTATGTACATGTAATGTGTGAACAGGACACGCTTCTATAGGAATATTTTATAGGTGAGATAAAGATTTTCTATGATTATAATGGAGAATTTTTTGTAAACATAATTTGTTGTAATGTCTACTTTGTCGAAAGGCCCAGGGTCTACACATTTTTATTTATACTCGGTTCCTATGATATCAAGGGTTCTATGATATCAAGGTATTTAAATTTTCTGTGACTGCTAGTAAAAGCAACACACGATGATGCTAATATTTGTAAAACTTGCACACTAGATTCATTTTCATCTGCCAATAAATTTAATTTGGTGAATAATGAATGCATTTGTGGCAAGAAAACTATTTTATAAAACCTTCATATTTGACTACCATTTTCCTTGATGTTTTTTACACAGTCAATTAAAATATGTTATAAACACATATACTGACATATAGTCTGTTCATATAGTTTTAATTTTATAGCAAGTTAAGTGTTGGAAGTTTTTCTCAACCTAACTTGAAAGTTTTGACCCATCTATCCTATCATACTTGCTTTTTTGGGGATTACCTTGATACCGTAGTACTAGTAACGTCCTCTGAAATTACCCAAAATGGCAGACATTGAAAATATTCTAAAAAATGTCATTTTTATTGGTTCTTTTGAAATAATTTTTTGACAAACAGTTCAGAAAAAGGTTCAATTATAAGATGGAAGAAAAATCTCATTAATTAATGATATTTTTATTTAAATATTTTCTGATAAACGTTAAGTACCGTGATATCATAGAACCCCGGGCTATATCCAGAAAACTGCTGATACAATGTATATACTAAATGTTTTACTCATAAAACATGGTCTTTTGTTTGATATTATGCTTTATATTACACAATATTTCTATCATATGACAACAACAACAGGGCCTACTATACCAACTAGTATAATTATGTCATATTTTAATTGTCCTGTATATCAGATTTTAAAGTAATTAAATTGTGCTAACATAATGTTAAGAAAATGTATCAGTTTTTATGGGATTTTTTTAACAAGGACATTTAAACACTGTGGTTATTGATCAAATTGTGGTCAGCAAGACTGCTATCTAGAAGGTACTGCAGTTGAAAGCTTTTGTAAGTCACTCCTATTATCCATATTCCCTTTTTGCATAGGAATTTATTTCTTTAACACACAGGCATTTTATAACTTAATAAATGGCAGGTGTCTGTGGCCAGACAGCTTTATGGTCATTGACTTAAAACCACTTGCCTGTCACCACTTTGGGTTTGAATCATGCTTGGAACTTTGGATTCATTTATGTGACAAAGCTTAGCTCATGCTAGCTTACGGAGCATCAGTGGTTCTACTCGGGTGAAAAAAAACTGCAGATAAAGGCACCCGAGGTCTGCCTCCACCAGTTGTACTGTAAATTTGCTATATGACCTAAACTGTATTGGTGCAATGTAAAACCCAGTCAACGAAAAAGAAGAGGGAAAAAAAAGAATTATACTAAAAGAAAGTAATTTATATGTATTTGAATTCCTGTTTTAAAGCATTTCACAATTGAAGATGGCAGCAGCTGATGAAAGAAGAGTTATGTGTGTAGGTCTTTGTTGTGTGGATATTGTCAGCATTGTTCAATCATTCCCTGTGGAGGATTCTGATCAGAGGTATGCTTTATATTATATATGTTCTAACACTCTTTACACTATTCCCATGTTAATCCATAACCTGCTGAAATTTTCCAACTTCCATTTTTTGGAACAGTCCATTATAGTTTAAAGACATAAAATAGCATATGCATGTTCAACTTTCATATAATTTTGAAATGTGCCGTACAGCTAGACAATACAGTGTGTCCTGGCTAGCCGTACGTGACTCATGTATGGCTAGAACTTTTGCCTAGCCTAGGGATTTCAAGATGAGAATTTGAAGTTGGTTTGTCAACAGTGTAGAGCCTGGATGGACTTCATGGATGTGCAGGCAGACCTGGCTTTACTGGTGGCAAAGGCTGATCACTTTCTGCTCCGCCAGGTTAAGAGTTAAACATAAAGGGCAGTTAACTTGTTAAGTGTATTATCACACAATATATGCACAGCATAAAACGAATGCTTACCCATCATTTGACATCAGTTGATGATGTCAATTAAACAATTGATGTCATAAATAACTTCTCAGATCAATGTACATGTAGTTCAATAAATATATATAGCTGTTAGTTCATTAGTCCATAACCAGGTTTTTTATTGACCTGTTAACTTTTAACAGCTGAGATATGGTACCAGTTTCAAAAATATGTTTTTCCAATTTCAAGGAAAAAATTCCCATTTTATGTAAACAGAAAAAAATTCAAAAACAAAATTATCACCATTTTGTGACAACCTTACTCTACTGTACAAAGCAAATTGTATTTTTTCATTCCAAATTTTAAAATGTAGTTGTAAGTAATGAATAAATAAGTGAAATATAAAACGAGCTGAATGAACCAAATACTTAACATTTTGTTTTATTTTGATATAAAAATGTATATACAGTACAGTGTGAGTTGCTCCAAATTTTGTTCATTGTCTGAACCCACGGTACACATGCCATATACTTATACTTGTACAGGTTAATAGCCTCAGGGTTACCGAGGATGAATTCTGTCTGAATCAACAGACAAATTTCTAATTTCTAGGGTTTGTGTCATGTTTCCCAAATGGTAAGAAGAAACCCTAATTACAGTTACATGAACAGGATGTCATACTTCAAGATTTTGTTTTCTGATTTCCAGTTACTCTAATTGTTGGGGTATATATTTGAAGGTCACTAGATTATTACTGGCAACGTGGAGGAAATGCCTCTAACAGCTCATCTGTCCTGTCCATGCTTGGCTGCCCAGTGGAATTCATGGGAACGTTTGTTAAAAGTCCAGAATATGGGTAAGATTTGTAATTTTCAAGTTTTCAGATTATTTTAAGGTTTGTCTTTAAAATTTAATGGTACATCTGTATGTGTTACAAAACTGATATTCATTTTTAAAATAGATAAGCTAGTTTGTTGCAAGAACTTTATTGTGCCTTCATAGTTGCATAGTTGAGGATCTCTTGGCTGATCACTGACAATTACGATTTAAATAATTATGATAGTAAATGACTTAAAACCAAAGAAATATAAATGGTGAAACATTAATTGATAGATTTTTTCTGATTTATTTATAATTATGACGTAATTAGAGAAATTAATTAAATTATATCTCACAGAAAAAAAGATGAGGGGCATCCATGGCTGAATGATCAATGTCATTGACTTCAAACCACTTGCCACTTAACACTGTGGGTTTAAATCCCACCAGTGATTTTGGATTCTTTCATGTGTGGCAGCTATCCAGCTAGCTTGTAGAGTGTTTGTGGTTCTCACTCAGGTGCCCATTTCTATGCCTTTATGCGAAAGGGTTGTAACTCAATATTTTGAAATTATTCAGGAGAGACAAAAAACTTATTTATTCTTTTACATTCTAATAAATACTTCATTAATTTTGGTTTTTGGCTTTCATTCATTTACTGATATATAATTGATTGGAAAGGTTATTTTATTTTGCCAGGATAAAGAGATAATTGATAAAGTTTCAGTTACAACCCTTTCGCACCAAAAAAATAATAAATTTCAAAAAATCATTTGGTGCGAAAGGGTTGTAACTAAATTTTTGCTTTAAATTCTGATAATTGTAATGGGTCAAATGAACAGATCCAAGCTTGTGTTTAGTATGAACTAATTTAACATATTGCCTGGATATTTCAGTGAAAAACCTTCAAATTTTATGTTTTTAAAATATAATTTCAGTCAAATGATTTTTTTTAAAGAAATTCACTTTATATATAATATATTTTTAAGCATTATCCAGGATCTTCTTTACTATTAAGCCAAAAGTATGAGAAAGATGATAATAGATGTTCTAAGCTCATGCTATTCTTACAACTCTTTACAGTCCCAAATTTCATTGTTTCTAATTATATAAATCAGTCAGTAATTAAATGAGAAAAAAATAAGGTCTGCAAATAATAACAATTACAAAATGCAATCCCCTCACCCCAATAAAATTCACAGGTGTGCACACAAACGCACATACAGCTGAAGAAGTGATTAATATCTTTAAGAATGATTTTAAAAAGATAAAATATATCTGATAATTTACTTTTATCTAACAGAAAACAAAGGGTCAATAAAATATTTTACTTAATATTCTAACACAACCCGCATTTTTCCCTATTGAACATAGAAGAACCAAAAGTGTGCATTATTATGCAATAAAATCACTGTCTGACATTCTATTTTAAGACATGTGATGTTATCATTATACACGCAAAGTAACCACTAAAAATGTGATGCGCTGAAAATGAGTACGGAACAAATCGTGCGCAATTTAGCTAAATATATTTAGGTACGGCAGCATTAAAATTTTATTTGTTGATGTCATGTTAGAATCAAAATAATATATCCAAATCGCTTGGAATCACTGAATAAAATCACTGTTTATTGATTGAATGTGCATCATTATATCACTCGGGCTACGCCCTCGTAATTCCACACATCCGACCTCCAAACAGTGATGTTATTGAGCGATAAAATCACAGTTTGGGATATATTATTTCTAAAATAATAGACCTATGTAACTTAAGCAAGATATACATGTAGCCTGTTTATCTGTGTAATTCAACCATACATCATACTGTTGGCTTGCAGTTTTATGGAAAGTCTTTTTCTTTTGTCCCATCAGCAGATATTTGTGATTTCTCAATTTTAACACCATGAACATGTTTAGTTGAGTTTTGCTGAAATTTGTGCCAGAAGAGTTGACAGTTGATTGCATTTACTACTGCTGTCCTTCTCCAGGAATCTATTGATTCTGAGAAATCCTTTAATATTTTTTTTTAAGAATTTATTTTAGTTTTAACATCTTTTATCTACATGTAGGTTTATATTATCTACACATAAACACCTTTGTTATATTGTAATACTTTTGTCTATACATAATTATTTTATTATTATGTATATGTATCTAAACTTAATGTTTACAATAAGTTGTCAAAGAAAAATTTGTTCACATATCTAGTCAGACATTGCCTTGTAACGTAAATAAAATTTTAGTACAATATTTATACAATTTGTCTTTGACAAGACATGAAAATATTCCAATAGTAATTCATGTAAGTTTAAAACCAAATCAAGAATTGAGTAATAATTGTATAATTTCTTTAAGTTATTTTAACATTTAGTAATTAAAAAAGCATCGAAACACGAGGCTGTTGGATTTGTATGAGAGTATAAATCAGATTGCCGATTGTTTTGATGTTCTTTCTCTTTTGTATCTTAGGCAAAAATAAAAACACATTCCAAGTCATCCAAGAAAAATGTACCAAATGTATAAGCATCTGAATATGACTTTTCTACTGTTATCTCCCTCCCTGTCTCTTACCCTGTAGTTACATTATGTAGAAACCAGAAAAAAAGAACCAGTTAATAAGCAAGCTCTGTTAAAGCACTGTGCATGTATTGGTATGCAATTTAACTCTGACATGTTTTCAAAAGTCTCCAAACTATGATACAATCATAATTTGTATCATAGTTTGGGGACTTTTCTGTTGAAAAGTGTCAGAGTTAAATCGTATACATATACATGCACAGTGCGGTAACTGGAGTGCAGGTATCAGTTACCCGCACTCCAGATAATGCCCGTGGATTGGTTCATTTTTGCTGGGGTTTACATATTGTGACGGCAGAGAAAGGGAAAGGGGCAGAACTATCATATTCAAATGCTCGTTCATTGGTTATTTTTTTCTGGGGTTTCATATTATGACAACAGGGAACGTGCTGTCATGTTTGACTATGATACAAAAGAGAAAGAACACCAAAACACTCTGCAATCTGATTTATACTCGGGGGCTACGCCCCCTCGTACAAATCAGATAGCCTCGTGTTTCGGTGCTCTTTCTATTACATATTGTATGGCAATTGTTTATAATAAATTTATTTTGAGTTACGGTAATTTCATTTTGGTAAACCCAAAATAGGTCCATTACTTTTTCTTGCTATTTTGCAACATTATACCAATGACAATTTTTATGTTGAGAAAAAATCATTATAATAGTACTGTTAGTCAAATATAGCAATGTACTATGATATTGTTTCTCTTATAAGCATTGGAATTGATTTATGTTTGAAATTTGTATCAGTTATTCAAATTTTTGTATTATGTCTGAATGAAAGCTCAACAATTATGTAAATAACAAGGAATCAGAAGCTGAGACTGTTTTAAAAACTTTGTCAATTAGTTTGAAGAAATAATCCACTAAATATTTCACAGAATGTGATATAAGATATTGAGATACAACTGTTTTGCACTAGGATTTATTCAAAATATTATCAAAATGTTGGTGCGAAACGGTTGTAACTTAAGTTACAACCGTTTCGCACCAACAAAATATGTCTGTTTGAGTTACAACCTTTGGACAAATATACTTTTTTGGTAGTTTAATTTTAGCTTTCAAGTTTAATATTTTTACAACATGTGTGTATATTGCTCCTTCATTGAAAAACACCATAAAACCATTTTCGGTGAAATTATGAGTTACAACCCTTTCGCACCAAGGCATCGATTTGTGTATTAAATATTGCACAGAGGGAAATGAAAGACGTGGACATTAGCTTGCTCTTTCCAATACTGACCATGAACAGGCTCAATGAAACCAAGCCTGCAACAATGGATGTGCAGTAACTGATATAGTAAAGATTTATTTTATATAATTTTTTTTTTTGCAGGTTTTTGGCAAAAGACTTTAAAGCTTTTAACATAAGTACGGATAATTGTGCCGTATATGAAGAGGGTAGCGTTAAATGTCCAGTTGCCATAGTGATAGTCAACCAACAGACTGGTTCACGTACAATAATGGCTGCTTTAAAGTAAGTTTATCCCTCATACAAAATAATGGCTGCTTTGAAGTAAGTTTATCCCTTGCACAATAATATCTGCTTTAAAGTAAGTTTATTCCACGCACAATAATGGCTGCTTTAAAGTAAGTTTATCCCTCGCACAATAATGGCTGCTTTAAAGTAAGTTAATCCCTCATACAATAATGGCTGCTTTGAAGTAAGTTTATCCCTCGCAAAATAATGGCTGCTTTAAAGTAAGTAATCCCTCATACAATAATATCTGCTTTGAAGTAAGTTTATCCCTCGCAAAATAATGGCTGCTTTAAAGTAAATTTTATTCCTCGCACAATAATGGCTGCTTTAAAGTAAGTTTCTCCCTCGCACAATAATGGCTGCTTTAAAGTAAGTTAATCCCTCATACAATAATGGCTGCTTTGAAGTAAGTTTATCCCTCGCAAAATAATGGCTGCTTTAAAGTAAGTTTATCCCTCGCACAATAATTGCTGCTTTAAAGTAAGTTTATCCCTCACACAATAATGGCTGATTTAAAGTAAGTTTATCCCTCGCACAATAATGGCTGCTTTAAAGTAAGTTTCTCCCTTGCACAATAATGGCTGCTTTAAGGTAAGTTTATCCCTCGCACAATAATGGCTGCTTTAAAGTAAGTTTATCCCTCGCACAATAATGGCTGCTTTAAAGTAAGTTTATCCCATGTACAATAATGGCTGCTTTTAAAGTAAGTTTATCCCATGCACAATAATGGCTGCTTTAAAGTAAGTTTATCCCTCGCACAATAATTGCTGCTTTAAAGTAAGTTTATCGCACATACAATAATGGCTGCTTTAAAGTAAGTTTTTCCCTCGCACAATAATGGCTGCTTTAAAGTAAGTTTATCCCTTTGCACAATAATGGCTGCTTTAAAGTAAGTTTATCCCATGCACAATAATGGCTGCTTTAAAGTAAGTTTATCCCTCGCACAATAATGGCTGCTTTAAAGTAAGTTTATCCCTTGCACAATAATGGCTGCTTTAAAGTAAGTTTATCCCATGTACAATAATGGCTGCTTTAAAGTAAGTTTATCCCATGTACAATAATGGCTGCTTTAAAGTAAGTTTATCCCATGCACAATAATGGCTGCTTTAAAGTAAGTTTATCCCATGCACAATAATGGCTGCTTTAAAGTAAGTTTATCCCATGTACAATAATTGCTGCTTTAAAGTAAGTTTATCCCATGTACAATAATTGCTGCTTTAAAGTAAGTTTATCCCATGTACAATAATTGCTGCTTTAAAGTAAGTTTATCCCATGTACAATAATGGCTGCTTTAAAGTAAGTTTATCCCATGTACAATAATTGCTGCTTTAAAGTAAGTTTATCCCATGTACAATAATGGCTGCTTTAAAGTAAGTTTATCCCATGCACAATAATGCTGCTTTAAAGTAAGTTTATGCCACGCACAATAATGGCTGCTTTAAAGTAAGTTTATCCCACATACAATAATGGCTGCTTTAAAGTAAGTTTTTCCCTCGCACAATAATGGCTGCTTTAAAGTAAGTTTATCCCTTTGCACAATAATGGCTGCTTTAAAGTAAGTTTATCCCATGCACAATAATGGCTGCTTTAAAATAAGTTTATCCCACGCACAATAATGGCTGCTTTAAAGTAAGTTTATCCCTGGCACAATAATGGCTGCTTTAAAGTAAGTTTATCCCTTTGCACAATAATGGCTGCTTTAAACTAAGTTTATCCCTAGCACAATAATGACTGCTTTAAAGTAAGTTTTTCCCTCGCACAATAATGGCTGCTTTAAAGTAAGTTTATGCCTCGCACAATGACTGCTTTAAAGTAAGTTTTTCCCTCGCACAATAATGGCTGCTTTAAAGTAAGTTTATTCCTCGCACAATGACTGCTTTAAAGTAAGTTTTTCTCTTGCACAATAATGGCTGCTTTAAAGTAAGTTTCTCCAAATTTCTTAGTCCTTTCTTCATATACTGTGTCCTATATGGATGATGTCTCAAACAGAGAGATTGGCTTATTATATATATATTTTTATATTATTTTAAGAAATTTAGAAAGTTTGAAAGTTAAAGCATGCAATTTTTTAGCATACAACTTGTAAAGCACATTGTTTCTTTTGTGTTGCTTTCTTAATTTCTCTGTAAAAGATGATTATCTCCTTTGATTTTAACTCAGCAGGATACATGTGTATATTATTAGTTATGTAAAGATTTTTGAAAGGTTATATGGTCCTAGATAAATGGTTGTTTGTATATATAACTATATTTATAACAACCATTTATATATAGCCATATAACCTGTCAAGAATCTTTATAACGGATTTATAATACAGCAAACTTCCTTTTTTAGAGAAAAATTGTGATTTCTTCATAAATTGACAGCAGTCTTGTTAATAATAATTAAATATATAAACATCCTGATTAACCAATGAAAAGCGACGGTACAAATGTGCAGTATTATTAAATATTAGGTTACATATTCAATATCATCATATTATTACTAGATGTCCGTACATTATTTTTATATTCCAGCAATATTGCGGAATTACAGTATGAAGATTTTGAAAAAGTTTCACTACAAAATTATAAATGGATTCATTTTGAGGTAAGGTGTACAAGTATTACCATACTTACTTGACAATAAGACAGATTATGCGGTTATGAGTGCCAGTGTGTATGTATGTGTCATCCTTGTCTCTTTGTGTGCTTTTTTATGCCCCCGGGCATATACATGTACTGATTGAACCGTCCGCCTGTCCATCTGTCCGTATGAGGTTAACCTAGAACGGCAAGTTGGATTTTTCTTAAGTTCTACCTGTTTCAATGGCTTTTAAGTTTACACACTTACTAATCAATACAAAGTACATGATCTGGGCAAGTTACATAACTCTGGCTTTCATATTTACCAAGTTATTGCCCTTTTCAGCACTTAGAAAATGAATAATGGTTAACTTAAAACGGCAAGTTGGAAATATCTTAAGTTCTATCTATACTAATGGCTTTATAATTTCCACACTTACTTATCAATACATAGTACATGATATTGCCAAGTTATATAACTGTGTCATCCATATTTCCCAGTTATTTCCCTTTTTTCACTTTGAAAATAGGGCCTTGTCTGGTTAACCTATTTCAGCAAGTTGGATTTATATTAAATTTCTCCTAATTGCTTAATTTCTTTAATGATATCTTTCATATTTAGCAGGTGGATACCTTTGATGGTCCTCTAATTTTTTGTGGAGTAAGCGGTCTCTAGGGTCAAGGTCACTGGTTTAAAAAATAAATATAAACATCTTTGCTCATATAGCCTTTATATTTTATTTGATGTCTTAGTTTAATACAAACATGCCAAAGGAGGTCCTTTTTCTTTGAGTGTAGTAAGGGGTCATTTGGGTCAAGGTCAATGTTACCAATGTCAAGGTCACCAATGTTAAAAATAGATTTTTACATTTTTACAGGTGTATTGACCTTATTCTATAGACAGATGTTATTTATAATTGATAGAAACATAAACTTTGATGGAGTTAGTGGTCAGTTGGGTCAAGGTCATCAGTGCTAAAAAATAGATTTTTACACATTTGCTCATATAGCCTTTATTAAGTGACAGATATATTTTATATTTGGTAGGAAGATAACTTGCATGGTATTCATCCTTTTGATTGAGGTAGGGATCAGTGGGTCAAGGTCACTTGTGCTAAAAACAGATTTTTACACTTTTGCCCATACAGCTTTTATTTATTGACAGATGTATTTCATATTTGGTAGGAAGATAACTTGCATGGTATTCTTCCTTTGGATAGAGTTAGGGGTCAGTTTGGTTAAGGTCACCAGTGCTAAAAATAGATTTTTACACTTTTGCCCATACAGCCTTTATTTATTGACAGATGTATTTCATATTTGGTAGGAAGATAACTTACATGGTATTTTTCTTTTGGATAGAGTAAGGGGTCAGTTAGGTTAAGGTCACTAGTGCTAAAAATAGATTTTTACACTTTTGCCCATACAGCCTTTATATAATGACAGATGTATTTCATATTTGGTAGGAAGATAACTTGCATGAAGTTGAATATTTTTCAACTCACAAGTCAGAGCAATGACTTAGCAACTTATATTTTTAACAATTACAAAATGCCATGACTTTGTCAAGCTATATAACTTGTGTTTACAATTTTTTGGCAATTTTTCTGTCCATAACTGAGTGAATGGGTAAACATTTTTTGAAATATTGCTACTGACAAGAATCTGAGCCGGGGGCATTTGTGTTTAACAAACACCTTCTTGTTTTTTTGTTGTTGTTGTTATTTTTTGTGTTTTTTTTGTTTTTTTTTCTTTTCCTTTTGATTTTTTTGTAATTGTTGTTTTTCTTTCATTACATTGATTTCAATCTGGTATACCCGTTCATATGCATGAAAATAAATAATTGTAAAACCACTGTGGGATGTGCTTCGACCCACAAATGGTTATGTGACGAAGCGAATAAATGGGTTACCCCATGTGGGACCTGAAAAAAAAAAAAAAGACAGATTATGTAGAAGACAAGACCTAAACTTGGTACTAAAAGTGGCAGTAATTTGCCTATGATTCTCAGAAATTTTTGTGTGTGTCAAGTTTCATATGTCAGACATGTCAGACTGTTTGAAAACTTTATAAATATATTCTTTATACTATTTTATGTTAGTCAGAGCCTTGGCAGACTGCAAGAAAGTGGAGGCTGGCCTGGTTTTTTTTGCCCCCAGGCATATAGTAATTGAACCGTCCGTCCGTCTGTCTGTCCGTGCGAGGTTAACCTAGAACGGCAAGTTGGATTTTTCTCAAGTTCTACCTGTACCAATGGCTTCTAAGTTAACACACTTACTAATCAATACAAAGTACATGATCTGGGCAAGTTACATAACTCTGGCTTTCATATTTACCAAGTTATTGCCCTTTTCAGCACTTAGAAAATGAGTAATGGTAAACCTAAAACGGCAAGTTGGAAATATCTTAAGTTCTATCTATACTAATGGCTTTATAATTTCTACACTTACTTATCAATACAAAGTACATGATATTACCAACTTATATAACTGTGTCATCCATATTTCCCAGTTATTTCCCTTTTTTTACTTTGAAAATAGGGCCTTGTCTGGTTAACCTATTTCAGCAAGTTGGATTTATCTTAAATTTCTCCTTATTGCTTAATTTCTTTAATGATATCTTTCATATTTAGTAGGTGGATACCTTTGATGGTCCTCTAATTTTTTGTGGTGTAAGCGGTCTCCAGATCAAGGTCAAGGTCACTGGTTTAAAAAATAAATATAAACATTTTTGCTCATACAGCCTTTATTTTTTAGTTGATGTTTTAGTTTAATACAAACATGCCAAGGGAGGTCCTCTTTCTTTGGGTGTAGTAAGGGGTCATTTGGGTCAAGGTCAATGTTACCAATGTCAAGGTCACCAATGTTAAAAATAGATTTTTACATTTTTACAGGTGTATTGACCTTATTCTATAGACAGATGTTATTTATAAGTGATAGAAACATAAACTTTGATGAAGTAAGGGGTCAGCTGGGTCAAGGTCACCAGTGCTAAAAATAGATCTTTACACTTTTGCCCATACAGCCTTTATTTATTGACAGATGTATTTCATATTTGGTAGGAAGATATTTTACATGGTATTCTTCTTTTAGATAGAGTTAGGGTCAGTTTGGTCAAGGTCACCAGTGGTCAAAATAGATTTTTACACTTATGCCCATACAGCCTTTATATAATGACAGATGTATTTCATATTTGGTAGGAAGATAACTTGCATGAAGTTGAATATTTTTTCAACTTCACAAGTCAGAGCAATGGCTTGGCAACTTATATTTTTCACAATTACAAAATGCCATGACTTTGTCAAGCTATATTGAACTTGTGTTTACAATTTTTTGGCAATTTTTCTGCCCATAACTGAGTGAATGGGTAAACACTTTTTGAAATTTTGCTACTAACAAGAATCTGACCTGGGGGCATTTGTGCTTAACAAACACATTCTTGTTTTATACTTGTGACAAATGCTACTTATGTTTGGGTTCTGACATTCTTTAAAGGTACTCCACTGAGGTCTAACAGCCTAATATAACAAAATTTGCAATACTTTCATAAATCAAATGATGCACTTCAAATGAAAAATTGTCAAAGGTAAAATAAAAATATAGTAATGAATAGTCAATTACCAATTTAATACTGAGTATATTATATATTGTATTAAATAGGTAATTGATCATTTTGGCAATAATGCATTGCAACACTTATAATTTGGGTAAATTGACTCAATAATATTGATTATCAATGGGAAATAAAGTGAGTTAATATTCTGAAATTCTGTATACAAGTTATTGGACAAGATCTTCACCCAGTTATAAAAAAAAATTTGAAAAAAATATTTTTGGTCCCTTCATGTTAAAAAAATTCAGTTCAGTCCCTTTGAAGATCCTGTATGTTGTAATTAAGGATATGATTCTAAAATAACCAAGAATATGTTAAATATGCATTATAAGTAATCATTTGTATTATATTCATTCCTTTCTTGATTAAAAATTTGGCTTAGACTTTATCGAAAATAAATTTCTAATTAGATGATTATATGATGAAACATTTTTGCAGTAAAAAAAGTAAGAACAAAACAAGAAAAAAATGATGAAAATAACCATAAACATATTCTGCGAAAGTAAGATTCATATTGGTTTAAACATATTTTTATTCAAGGTATCTCGCACATGTTAATAATTTACAGTTTAAGCAGAAAGGAATTGGACCGAGAGCTACAATAGCTCATGGTAGTCATCTCCTTTAAGATTCATATTCATAGAGGATATGGAAATAAGATCAATTCAAAACTAGTTGGTTTAACGTCTACCTCCCTTTATTTACATGAAATATTAATTTGGTAATTTCTTTACAAATAATGCTTTTTGGAATGTGCAATATTGATAAATCTTCATTTTAGCATCATATTTACGATATAAAACCATAAAAAAATTTGAGTTACAGGATCTTTAAGGGTTGAGAATATAGAAACACTGCTGAAGTATTATAATAACTTTTAGATGATAATTAATAAAAAGTAAAGTTCCATGTAATATGAATACATTGTATTTGTTTTGTTGTTATAAATATATGTGATATTGATGAATATTTGTAATTGCTAGGGCAGGAATACTGTGGAAAATTTAACACAGATGATACAATGCATACAGAGATATAATGACAGTGTGTCGGCCGAGGCAAATGTTAGAATCTCCTTGGAATTGGAGAAAACTAGGCGATCAGATTTAAGTATGCTTATTAATTATTCTTAATGTAAACAGATATTAAATTTCCTGATAGTAAGCTGTGACTGCAAGATGATTGGTTTAGTACTAAAATTTGTATTTAAAACAGTTTTTTCATTGCCCTTAGAATGAAACAATGTTCATGTATATTGAAACGTTGTTTTCAATCTGTCTTTCTGTCATTTATTGATTGAAGTCATTGGTTTTGTTTTTTTTAATGAAGTTATATCAAGATTGCATTAATTTCATAAAATACTGTTCATGTATAATTTCCTGTTAAGACTGTAAATTGGTGTATACATTTGATTATCTACTGTGTATTTCTAATGATATTTATTGGTAACTTCAAACCACTTGCCCCTCATAACCAGGGACTTTGAATTCGTTCATGTTAGGAAGTTTACAGGAAAAGCCGGTGGTTCTACTCATGTGCCCATCCTTGTTAGAAATAATTAACGGAGGGGCTTCTTTCAGCTGGAAATACACCATAATTATGACCTATTTGGTGCAATTTTAACCCCCTTATCATCCCCCCATTCTAACAAAAAAATGATATGTTTATATTGCATTTGAATGAAAACTGAATGCTTTCATATAAAATCACTATTTAACTGTTTTATTCATGAGCAAGTACTGCAAGTTAATCTATATTTATGACTTATTATAGTACCTCTCATGTCTGAAGTAGACTTTGTATTTGTGAGTAAAGAGTTTGCCGCTGCCCAGGGTTACAGTAATAAAGAGGAAGCAGTGTCTGGAATGGTTCATAAATGCAAGCAAGGGTAACTATGGTTATTAGCTCACCTGTCACAAAGTGACAGGGTGAGCTTTTGTGATCGCTTTTCGTCCGGCGTCCGTCCGGCGTCCGTCCGGCGTCCGTCCGTCGTCCGTCCGTCCGTAAACTTTTACTTTAAATGACATCTCCTCATAAACCACTAAGCCAATTTCATCCAAACTTCACAGGAATGTTCCTTTGGTGGTCACCTTTAAAAATTGTTCAAAGAATTTAATTCCATGCAGAACTCTGGTTGCCATGGCAACCGAAAGAAAAAACTTTAAATATCTTCTTTTAAAAAACCATAAGAGCTAGAGCTAAGATATTTAGCATGAAACATCTTCTAGTGAGTGTCTACCAAGTTTGTTCAAATAAAAGCCCTGGGGTCAAAATTGGCCCCGCCCCGGGGGGTCATTGATTTTCCCTATATGCATATAGTAAAAACTTAAAAAATCTTCTTTTAAAGAACCCAAAGAGCTAGAGCTATGATATTTAGCATGAAACATGTTCTATTGGGTGTCTACCAAGTTTGTTCAAATAAAAGCCCTAAGGTCAAAATTGGCCCGGCCCCGGGGGGTCATTGATTTTCCCTATATGCATATAGTAAAAACTTAAAAAATCTTCTTTTAAAGAACTCAAAGAGCTAGAGCTTAGATATTTGGCATGAAACATCTTCTAGTGAGTGTCTACCAAGTTTGTTCAAATAAAAGCCCTGGGGACAAAATTGGTCCCCCCCGGGGGGGTCATTGATTTACCCTATATGCATATAGTAAAAACTTAAAAAATCTTCTTTTAAAGAACCCAAAGAGCTAGAGCTAAGATATTTAGCATGAAACATGTTCTAATGGGTGTCTACCAAGTTTGTTCAAATAAAAGCCCTGGGGTCAAAATTGGCCCCGCCCCGGGGGGTCATTGATTTTCCCTATATGCATATAGTAAAAACCTAAAAAAATCTTCTTTTAAAGAACTCAAAGAGCTAGAGCTTAGATATTTGGCATGAAACATCTTCTAATGGATGTCTACCAAGATTGTTCAAATAAAAGCCCTGGGGTCAAAATTGGCACCGCCCCGGGGGTTATTGATTTTCCTTATATGTGTATAGCAAAAACTTAAAAAATCTTCTTTGAAAAAACCCAAATAGCTAGAGTTAAGATATTAAGCATGAAACATCTTTTAGTGAGTGTCTACAAAGTTTGTTCAAATAAAAGACCTGGGGTCAAAATTGGCCCCGCCCCGGGGGTCATTGATTTTCTTTATATGTGTTTAGCAAAAACTTTAAATCTTCTTTGAAAAAAACCCAAATAGCTAGAGTTTAGATATTAAGCATGAAACATCTTCTAGTAAGTGTCTACAAAGTTTGTTCAAATAAAAGCCCTGGGATAAAAACTGGCCCCGCCCCAGGGGTGTCATTGTTTTTAACTATATATGTATAGTAAAAACTTAAAAAATCTTCTTTTAAAAAGCCCAATGAGCTAGAGCTTAGATGTTTAGCATGAACATCTTCTTATGGGTGTCTACCAAGTTTGTGCAAATAAAAGCCCTTGGGTTAAATTGGCCCTGCAATGTTGGGGGGCGGGGTTGGGGGGGGCCTATATACAGGTGAGCGACCTCAGGGCCATCATGGCCCTCTTGTTTAATTTTTGTGTTGCCTGTACAGAGTGGTAGCAACATATAGGGATCACTTGCCGTCTGTCTGTCTGTCACAAAACTTGTCCAGACTACTTAACAGAAAGTACTGGTACAATTTCAATTACAAACCTTACAGGAATGACCAGTACCCAGTCTAGTTGTGCATAGTGTCAGCATTTTCCAGTTCAGTGAATTTTGTCAGAGTTATTGTCCTTTAATGATTTTGATTTTTAAAGTTTGTCCAGACAACTCTTCTTCTACCACTTATGCAATTTCAATGAAACTTTACAGGATTGATTGGTAGCTCAAGTACTTGGGCATATTACATGGGTTTTCCACTTGAATGACTTTTTGGCCGTCAGTTATGGCCCTTCAGTAAAAAAGGTGGTTTTCTGTAGCCAGCTACACAGAAGCTTGTCAGGACAACTCCTCAGAAACTCTTGAGTTACCTTTATAAAGAGTTATGCCCCTTTTCATTCTGCCAAGCAGTGAAAATAGTCAAGCTACTGTCTTACAGACAGCTCGTGTTTATGTATATTTTTTGACAAAGTTTGTTAATTAATAACTTACTGATAATGGAGAGGTGAACAAGGGGTAAATGTGTATGCCTCCCATCCTAAGGTCATGAGTTTGAAGCTTGCGAGGCACAGGTTTCGAACCATGTTTTTGCACTTGTTAGTTCCGGGAAGGGTACTTGAAAAGTTATTGATATAAAATGCCAGAACTTGTTAAGGACATTAGCTGCAAACCACTTGCCCCTGACTGCTGTGCATATAGTATAGCTTACAAAATGTGTGTGGTTCTACACAGTTGCCTGTTGCCTGTTATTGCTGAAATAATGTACAGACAGGCACCAGAAGTCTTCTTCCACCAGTAAACCTGGAAAATTGCCATATGACCTATACTGTGTTGATACAAGTTAAATCCCAACCAATAAAAGAAAGATTAAATGAACACAAGTATGTATTAAAAAGTTTAATGTCGAGCTTAATTATACAGTAGAAAAAGTTGATCCTTAAATTAGATAAGAAAATGATATATCATCTCTACATGTTAAGAAGCTTTTATGAAGTTTCTGTTTAATATTTTACCAGAGGAACTGTGATATGTGCATGGGGTGAAGATGGGGCTGCTGCCAAGTCTACGTCAGGTGATCTGAAGACCTCACCAATTTTCCCGCCAAAAACTCTTGTAGATACTCTCGGAGCAGGCGACACGTTCAACGGAGCTACAATCTTTGCACTGAGTCGAGATATACCTTTAGGGGATGCAGTAACTTTTGGTTGTAAAATTGCCGGTGCTAAATGTGGACTTGTAGGTTATAGGGGACTTCAAGGATTGCAGAGCATGTTATGACGTCATGTGTTATATAGTTTTAAATTGATTTTTTTCAGTGAAATTCTAATAAAAAACAATTCAATGTGTCAGTGAAATAAAAGTCATATCTCACTGCATGGAAGTAGTGAAATATAAATATATAAAATTAGATCTTTAACACTTGTTTTGTACATGCAATAAAGAATCAAAAGTAGCAAAAGAAGAACACTCACAAATTAAAAATTTAAAGCCATCATATAATTGAGCATTGTTTGGCATGGTGTTATTTCTTCGAAATGTCTGACCAGCTTTAAAGTAAAATCTGGAAAGATATGACTTAATCAAAAAGGAAATTTGTTAGTGTAATAGTATGAATGTCAGATATGAAAATAGCATTTATTTCTGGTGCTAACTCATTGAAATCCAAAGTAGATAATTTGCTGAAACAAACAAATACGTTTCATGTATTTGTGGTTATTCTTTGTGATAAAATAATTATAGTATTAATTCAAGGTTAATGTGATAAATGAAATACACTTTGAAAGCAGTATGCCTTTAAATTCATGTACATTTTTATGAAAACTAAGAAATCATCAGTGAAATTTGTAAAACATTTGTCAAATGTACCAGTAAAGGGATTTAACCATAACCTTACTCAATCTCCCACGCAGTGATCCCCCCTTACAGAATTAGTTACTGGCCGTATATGGTGCTGGGAATTTGAACCTTACTATCCAAAGATTCTGAAATAAAATGAAATGTTCGATCAAATTAAATATTTTTACGCTGCTAGAACAAAAAGTGATTTTTTTTGTCACCAGTGTAAAGACCAGCCAGGCCAGCACATCCGTGCTGTCTGACCAGGCTCTAAATAGTTTGGGATCACCGTCCAAAAACGGAAGCAAGATAAATCCATTTAAGAAATTCAATAAGTTTAGGATTTTTTTTCATAATACAAGCACTGTGCCCTTTAAACTGCCAATATTTTTACATTTTGTTTACTATAACTAAATATATTTTTTCTTAAGTTTACTTGCTGACTAAGTATTTATACTTTCCCTAGAGGACCATTGTTATTGTTAAGTTACATGAAGCTTGTACCATCAAACATGTCAAATAACTGTATATTTCTTTTATTATCACCTCAATGACATTTTGTAAAATCAAGCTGTTGTTAAGATATATTGTTCACTATTTTTAATTTCATGTACATGTATTATTAAGTACATGCATTTATATAAACTATTTACTGTAATTCAGTGTGCCAAATTAAGCATTTCCTTTATTCTGATACATGTATATACTTAATAAATAAGTGGTCTCATGCCAGAAAGGAATGGCCGTAACCTATAACCCCATGAGCATATTGTGAAAAATGGCCGTTTTCATTGAAAAGCCTCCTGTGACAAGTTCAAATTGCTATGAAACTATGAAAAATACTTCAATACTGATGAAACTTGGCACACATGTTGACTGAACCATGGCCTCTGTAACAGCACGATCAATCGTAAATTCCCTGTTACCATGGCAACAGGGGGATGTCTCAAAATTGGGAAAAATCACTATTTTACATTGTTTTTTTTTCCATCAAAACTGATTTCAAAGTGCTGCAAATTCTCAATGAATTGAGGTAGAGTAAAAGGCTTTTCAGCGTCTGTTACTAGTTACCCAAAGATCGACTTGAGGCCATTTTTAGCCTGTCACATGTCCAAAATTTTCTAGGCGATAAGGAGAACATTTTGATTGGGAGGGGGGGGGGGGGGGCGTCGCCGAAAAGGTGGTCACTTTTTAGCTCACCTGTCACAAAGTGACAGGGTGAGCTTTTGTGATCGCTTTTCGTCCGGCGTCCGTCCGTCGTCCGTCCGTCGTCCGTAAACTTTTACTTTAAATGACATCTTCTCATAAACCACATGGCCAATTTCATCCAAACTTCACAGGAATGTTCCTTTGGTGGTCACCTTTAAAAATTGTTCAAAGAATTAAATTCCATGCAGAACTCTGGTTGCCATGGCAACCGAAAGAAAAAACTTTAAATATCTTCTTTTAAAAAACCCTAAGAGCTAGAGCTTAGATATTTGACATGAAACATCTTCTAGTGAGTGTCTACCAAGTTTGTTCAAATAAAAGCCCTGGGGTCAAAATTGGCCCCGCCCCAGGGGGTCATTGATTTTCCCTAAATGTATATAGTAAAACCTTAAAAAAGTCTTCTTTTAAAGAACCCAAAGAGCTAGAGTTAAGATATTTAGCATCAAACATGTTCTAATAGGTGTCTACCAAGTTTGTTCAAATAAAAGCCCTGGGGTCAAAATTGGCCCCGCCCAGGGGGTCATTGATTTTCCTTATATGTGTATAGCAAAAAGTTAAAAAATCTTCTTTGAAAAAACCCAAATAGCTAGAGTTTAGATATTAAGCATGAAACATCTTCTAGTGATTGTCTACAAAGTTTGTTCAAATAAAAGCCCTGGGGTCAAAACTGGCCCCGCCCCAGGGTGTCATTGTTTTTAAACTATATGTGTATAGTAAAAACTTTAAAAAAATCTTCTTTTAAAAAGCCCAATGAGCTAGAGCTTAGATGTTTAGCATGAAACATCTTCTTATGGGTGGGGGGGGGGGCTATATACAGGTGAGCGACCTCAGGGCCATCATGGCCCTCTTTAACAACATTTCTCAAACGAAAAACAGTGTTTTTGGCCTAAATAGGGCATTTTTTTCACTGTTAAGCACCAAAAGAGTGGGGGGGCAAAAAGCCGTCAAAACACGTCTATATGAGGTAAAAGGTTAAAGGGACTTCCCACATTACAGGACTGGAAATATGTTTTTGAGTTGTATGTACTTTCCCCTTTAAAGATAATAAAGTTTATGGCCCGTAGAATTGTTGATATACCAAGTTACAGTGACCTTGACCTAAAATGTATGTGGTAGGTATACTCATCAATGTGTCTCCCAAAATAAAGTTTAAATGTTCCGTGCTAATAAATTTGGAATGAGTGACAAATCCTATACAAGTCTATATAAATCAAGTATCCCCCGTGGGTAGGCCAAAAGTTTAGGGTTCCCTATACAGTACATCATGTAAACTTCAATATGCATGGTTTGTTTGTAAACAATGCATATGTGAAGCGGCATTACTCTCCAAAACCGTGATATTAGTGCTATCTTCACTTGCAGACGACTGCCGTAAACAACTTGTTTACAACTATTTATAAAGTTTAAAAACTGTAAATATTAGAAATAATTTTGTTAAGGTGATCATAACACTACTTCTAACTTCAGCCATACCAAATTAGCTAAACGTTTCATTATTAAGTCGCAGGTAGCTTATGTACATGTGAATAGACAGAATAAATTCATTGATTAACAAATCAATGGAAACATCATTGGAAGCACCATTTAATACTGTTTTTTGTGTTGTTTCTATTGGTTGCATAATCATTCGGAATCTAGCTATAAATAATTCAGTATTAGGCAATGTTCACTTTAACTGTTGAATTTCTCTAGAGTACTTTAGTCAATTATTTCAATGCATACAATATGACCCAAATAATTAAATTTTCTCTGAAATATGGACTTTCGATTTGTTTTTGTTTTTTACTAATTACCTAGTTTCTGTTTAACCTTTTTATGAATTTGCCCCATTGGCTAACATACACGCGTATAATTATGTATTTATAAACAGACTTAAAGGGACTCCATTGAGGTTTTTTGACATGACGGTACTGAAAATAATGTACGCGATTAATGTATTATTTGATGTAGGTCTACGGTCTAGAACAATAACTTATGTGAAAAAGTTCAGATTATTCGTTCACTCCGTTTTTTCTTTCAAAATAATCATTCTAATTGAGTAAAAATTACCGAAAATTGAAAAATGTTGCAACGCTTTTCACTCAAACTGAGCTAAGAATAGTTAAGAATAGTCCAAAAATACGATTCTCGATGTATTTCTGAGTATGTTTCTTAATTTTCATTTTGCATATCTTTCTGTGCCCTATGAAGCTGATATATGTTAGGAATTTATATTTAATGTTTTACGCTTATAAACCTCAGTGGAGTTCCTTTAACATGGAGGCTTACAAATCTAACCAATCAATAAACAGTCAGACACACCTGCACGTCCATGAATTCTGGTGGGATTTATCATGCTAAGCAGCATAATTTCAGCATTGTGATAATGAACCCCCTTGAATATTCAATAAACCGATCCAGATTTTAAAACAGGGCAAGTCCATTAAGTCAAACAACGGTGAATTGGTCAATTGTACATGCATTGCGGCAGACTACGGCGTGTCAAAGCTCCCGACGAGTCCGTGTTTTTCTCCGAAAGAAATAAGGTTTTTCTAATCTGTTCAACACGCCTATAGACCTTGCGGTTCGGGCGTGGGTGTAAACTCTGCAAGAAGCGTAGCGGCTCTATTGGTATTTATTTCACGTGTAGGTACAATTAAGCTGTTAACAAGAAGAGAAAGTTGTATTGGCACACAAAAAAATGACGGCACACCTGGGCATTTCCCACTCTACAAAGATAATTATTTGAATCAGGACCTATAATTGTATTATTAGAGATCGCAAGGTACGATTCAATTTGATACATAGTTAAAACGATAATTGTAAGAAAAAACTGTTAATTTATTAAAGTAAAGTCGAGTTTTCAAAAAAAAATGAAGAAATGGAATGCCACATATAAAGTTTCAAGATAGAGAAACGTTTATGTCCACTGTATTCTGTGATTTACAGAGGAAATGAGGATCTTTTAGTACTCGTCTTCATCCCCTTCTCCTTCATCAACACTATCAACACCAACCTCCTCGTAGTCTTTCTCGAGGGCAGCTAGATCCTCGCGAGCCTCGGAGAATTCACCCTCCTCCATGCCCTCGCCGACATACCAGTGGACAAACGCTCGCTTAGCGTACATCAGGTCAAACTTGTGATCAAGACGAGCCCAAGCCTCAGCGGATGGCCAGTTTGTGTTGCTGGCAATGTTCATCAAACTGAGAGATCAGACGCTGGACCATTGTGAGGCCATCTCATACACACACGAGACACCAATCTGTCGCGGCCAGTGGTCTGGTGAGTTGTCTTCGAGAGCCGTAGCGCGGTTGCACAAACCGAGCTACGGGCACCAGTCGACAAACTGGATGGTTCTCTTTGTTTTGATCGTAGCAATTGCGGCGTTCACATCTTTCGGGACAACG